TTAGTCAGTACCACTTTTTGGTAGATTAGTACCACATTTCTGGTCTTTTGTACCACTTGTAGTGAACACATAGAAACAACGCATATTGGTCGAAAACTATGTTCATACGACCCATAATCACTCTCAAATTAGTTTATATGACATTGAAAATTTGTTTAATTAAGTTTAATCGTAAATTGGTCACGAACTCAACGCATTAATGGAAAAACAATACTTAATACACTTTTGCTACCTGTTTTTCTTGTATTAATACCTGTTATTCTTATACGCAGTACCTGAAATTGAAAATGTTTTCGTTCAAACCATAGCGCCGCTAAGGTGGTTAGCGGCGCTAACCTAGAAAGCCTCCCGGCCTCTGCTCATCGCTAAGAAAAGGTAGCGGCGCTAACATCCTAGCCTTAGCGCCGCTAACACCTGGGCAGCACTCATTTTTGCCCCTTAGTAAAAATTAACCAAATTTTTATAAGTTGTACTGCAGACCCGATATCCGGTACTATAACGACACAAAACAGGTACTGCTTTACTCTATGACATGTACTAATTTTGAAAATGAGAGAATTTGAAGTAATCCTTTTTTCGTTCTTTCTACAAGGGAAGTATTAATTGATCAATAACTGGTACTTAATAGAATAATAAATGGTACTAATTCAGAAATAACTGGTACAAATTGATCAAAAGACATCATCCGGCAAAAAAACAAAGTACAATTGACCAAATGCAAAATACACCTAGGCAAAAACAAAATACACTTGGGCACAAAAAAAAATATACACATGCCCAAAGAACAAAATACATGAGTGATCTATATACGTTCTTTGCACGTACGTCGATTGTGTCCACGACGACCACAACGCTTACACCGCCTAACTGCAACATCAACTTGTGAAGGAATTCTTTTTTCCCTCCTGCATCCGGGATGAGGTCGTACATCCGGAGCATGAATGACAATCGGCCACCTCTTGCCAATGAGAGAGTACACTTCATCAAGAGTTGATTCAAGGTTCATAGAGAACACATATATTTCATCCTTGTATGTACAACTCCCTAATATATCACTTTGTGCCCCTTCCATGTATCTAACAATGATAGGATTAAAAACAACAAGTTCACAATTCCCAGCAAATAAGGTACCAACAGTGAGAAAAGTGGTACTATATATACCCAAACAGAGGTACACACAGTCATGAAAAGTGGTACTATCATTATTCTCATCTTTTTTTTTTTTTGTTTTATGGTCAATAACACCTAACATAACCTAACAATAGCATAAATTTAGTATACATGAACAAAAAAGAAAGATTATGATCACTTTATTTATTTTAGGGTAAATATAAACAACAATATTCAACATTCAATCATTCACAAATCAAACAAAATACATGAATTAAAGATGATTTTTGGACTCCAA